TATATTTGATCGAGCGCAAGGGGCTGGGTTACCAGCCTATTCTTGGACGTGGCCGAAGAATGTGGTTGCGATGGTGGTTGAGAGATGTGGAGAGTCGGGGTCCCTGCTCGGGCCACGAATGACGATCCGCTAAAATCCACAGTAAAGTACTTTTTGCAGGGGCCTGTAAGGCCGGTTAGGGTCCCGGAGCAGCCAAAGACTGGCAAAAAGCCGCCGACCGTGCTGTCCTTCTGAATGGTGATGACCAACTCTTGGGGCGGCTCGTGGCTGATGGCTCGTCCCGGGGGTTTCTGTGCTGAAATAGCGATTGATCTTATTGTCTGGTCCCAGGTGCGCCAGGCTTACGGGCCCTCACTTCTGGTCCAATTGACCCTTTCTAATTCGGTATCTCTCAATCCTGGAGGTATTGGGGGGCATCCATCCCGAAGGCCCTTTCGTCCCAACCGCGCAGTTGTGCGCTTTGCTTCGCTCTTCAGTCGGGGGTTACAGCACAAGCCGGTGCTCAAGTTGCTTCGGCCTCGTTCCACCTCCCGATGCTGTGACAATGGCCTTGTAGACGCGATGCAGATCTCCGGTCGCACAGGTGTCTGCGCTTCGGCCAGTGCAGTTTCCTGCGGAAGGGCGACGAGCAACAAGCAGGTCTCGCAGTGTTTCAATGACGATCTTTCGTGAGCGAAGCGGTAATCGTGTGCGATCTTGATTTGCCAACCAAGACTGCGCGCCTGTCAATGCAAAGGCAGGCCGCAGAGATCTGCCAAACACAAACGAAAGAAACTGATATGAGATCGTGCAGGTGATATGGACAGATGTGCAGTGCAGAGAGAAACTGAAGATTTAATGGCGCCTAAGCTTGGATTTCTTTGGCAGAGGAGTCATGCTTCCTCAACCCCACTACGCGTCCCTGGAGGCAGAGGCAGAGGCAGAAGCAGAAGGCAGACCACGCGGAGCGGCGAGGGGCAAAGAAGATAGAAAGGACTCAGTTGACTGCCTGGTGACAGCCTGCAGGATGACGAACAGGAATCGGAGGCAGCAACAGGCAGAGCAGGGGCCCGGCCCCGAGTGTGTCGAAAATGGCGCGGCGAAGGAGGAAAAGAGCAGAATGTGCGTGTGAGAGAGGGGCGGGTGAGCGACGGGTGAGCGACAAGTGAGGGACGAGTGAGGGACGAGTGAGAGCCAATCCACCGGCCGGCGTTCAAAACCCATCAGCCTTCGCACCTGTTCATTGTCTCAACGCTCGCCAGTCAAGGCACCCACAAGGGCTGGTCAGAATTAGTTGCGTGATGTGCCGCATTAATGAACATTTGCTGCAACCTGAGTGGCAGATAAAGCCCAATGAGCTGCCCAACCTACGCACCACGCACATCCCAGCTCTAGTTGCAGGCACGAGCAGACCAGGACATCCACTCGGGGAATGTGACTGCCGGCGTCTGCCACCCTCTACCACCCTCGGGCAGACAGGACTTCTTCGCTTCTTAGCCCTCGTTGCCATCAGCATCTCGCGTTCGCTTGCGGGTGATTCTGAACCACAACTCGACGTCAGCAGGGATCCTGTCAAACGCGAACCAGGTAGCCAAGGTCCGGATGTTAATGCGGTGATTGCACCAGCTCTCCCTCTCTCTCACACACACGGTGTAACTGACGAGTGACGCGAGCCGCCAGAGGTGTTTGTGTATCTGCCTCAATCCATCCAGCCCGCTAGCATCCTCCAGGTGTCACACGAAACGTGGAGTGGCGTTTGCAAGGGGATGGCAATGTCATACAACTCCATGACCCGGCTGCTACACGGCAGCCCATTTGTTGGCCAGCAGCAAACGCGGGGAGCCTACGCGCAGCGAAGGGCCGATCCAAGAGTCACTCAGTGCGGTGCTCGTGCTCACCCTCGTCGCTGCCTTCCCCTCCATGCATGAGATTACCCCTCCAGCATTGAAAGCCGTTTCTACGCTGCATGGCCCTTTCGTTCGTGGCTGGAATACGCTCACTCTGTTCCGCCTGTCAGGTTGGAGCTCGCAACGGCTGCGGTCAGTCGAGCAGATGCACTCTGGTAACCTAGGCATCGCACTTGTACTGGGCCTTGAACGCTTCCCGCTCCTCCTTTCACATTTTCATTGTCAATCAGAGTACGTCAATGGCTCAGCGTCACTCCTCCAGATCCGGCCCGGAAGAGAGAGGTGGCGAGAAGGACGATGATCAGCTGGGAGTGGCTGCCCGACGCGCTGTGACGGTGGACAGCAAATTTTTGCCCTGACTAAACCCTACTCTATGTTCGCGGGATGCACCTTCACCACACTCGGCCATGGCAAGACGATATCGCATCAAGTCTCCCTAGGTACAAGCCCCTCGTGTACCACGCATAAGGCTAGTTTATGCAGCTGCGCTGTAGTCTCATCAGCCTGATGCCCTGCTCCAAGTCCCTGACCAGCCGGTCATCCGTGGTTCGCGCTTGTCCTGTTGCATGAACCCACGGCCGAAGTCCAGGTTAGAGAAGCAGGGCATCGATCCTTCAGAAAATGGCCGATTCCGGAATCTCCCGCTAAAATTCCTGACGACCCCTGTCCACTCCATAAACACTACAACAAAAGTTCCTCTTCTCATGGATGTCTGTTCTTACATCCTCTCCACCGGACTTAATCCGAGCAAGGTCATGCCATTCCACAACACTTGGCGAGCAGCTTCGTACAGTGCCAACCGAGCTTTCTGCAGCTCAGGTTCACTTCCGACGACTTGTAAGTGGTCGTAGCTCGAGCTCAGCGCGTGGGCCATCTTGAACAAATAGGTCAGCACGGTGCCCGGTTCGCGCGTCTTGAGCGCGTTGAGAACGACGTCGGGATACTGGGCAAGGGACCGTGCTAAATTGATAGCGTGAGTCTCTTGCAGCAACGATAAGTCGGCTGAATCCAGCGCACTGAGGTCTGCGTTCGCTTTGCGTTCGATCGAACACAGTCGCGCGTGCGCATACTGGAGGTATGGACCGGTGTCCCCCTCAAATGCCGTCATCTGGTTGATGTTGAACTCGTAGCCGTTTCGAACCTTGCCAGTCAAATCCTGCACCATGATCGCCGTGATGGCTAGAGTGTCGGCCACGGCATCGGGGTCGTCCAGTTGCGAATATTTCTGATCGTTCTTCTTCATCACATCAAGCATGGTATCCTTGACCGTCTGGATGATGTCGTCCAGGAACTTGACGGTGCCTTTGCGTGTGCTCATGCCCTTGACCATGCCAAAGGAGACGTGCTCGCATTTGTCGGCAATGTCCTTGTGCCCACTGATCTCGGTTGTCTTGAAAAGCTGTGCGACGTGTTCATTCTGCTGGTCTGCGATAACGTAGAGCATCTTGTCGAAATGATACTGGTTGTGTCGCTCCAGGATAGCAGCCAAATCTCGGGTCAGGTATAACGGTGTGCCGTCCTTCCTTACGATGATTGCTTTGTTGAGCTTCTTAGCGCCATGTTTTGCAAAGTCGATCAGGATCGCTCCTTCGGACTCTTCTGCAATCTTTTGGGCCATCAGATTGTCCAATACCTGCTTGATTGTCTCTTGCTTCACCTGGGACTCGCCCGAGTAGACGTCGAATGCGATGTTCAACCTGGCGTATGTCTTCTGGTACTTCTTGATACTCAAGTCCCTAAACTGCTGCCACAAGGCCAAGGCTTCGGGATCACCCTCTTCCATACTACGGAAATACTTCCTCGCCTTCTCGTCTTCACTCTCTTCCACTAAAGGTGCAAGCTTGGCCTCCAGCGCAGACACATCTTCGCCTTTAGCTTTCTTCTCTTTGATCTCTTTCTTCAGCTCGTTGATCGGACCATCTTGGGCTTCTTTCACCTTGTTGATCTGGACATAGACCTGGAACAGATGCGCGATCGAGTTCTTGTCTAACTCTTCCTGACTGCCAAACTGCTTGAAGCCGTTTGCCAGCAGACCATACTGTTTGCCCCAGTCTCCCAGATAGTTCATCCGCACTACCTCCCAGCCCAAAACTTGATAGAGCTTCGCCAAAAATCCCCCGATGATGGTACTTCGAAGATGGCCTGCGTGAAATTCTTTGGCAATATTCGGGGAAGAGAACTCGACGATGATCTTCTTTCGTCCTTTGGAGGGGTTTGATGGGTCTTTCAGTCCGGGAACTGGATTTGAACCATAAGCTTTTGTGTGCGTGAGGATTTCGGGGATCGTTGTCTTGATGATATGTTCTGGCTTCGCAAAAAACTGGACGAATGGGCCTGCCTGGCTCACTGTCACGAGGGTGTCATCCGTCTTGGGGAACGCTTCAACGATTTCTTTGGCTTGATCCTGAGGCGGCTTGCCCTTGACCCTCAATGCAGGAACAGCTAGCACGAGATCCCCCTTGTCTTGTGTCGTGGTCCATTGTAATAGTGGGATGAGTTCTTTTTCTGGTCGATTGACGATTGGAGATAATTGCTCGGCGATGTACTGTCGATAGAAGTCCATGGGATTCTTGACTTTCGCCATTTCTTCGAACGTCAAAGATGACACTGGACCGTCGAGTTCACCAGCCATGCTTGATTTCGCCGGTGAGCTGCCACAATAAAGTCGGTGTTGTTGTTTCACAAAGATTGGAGAAGTTGTTGATACCTGACTTCCGCGATAGATGTAGGGGAGGCGGCTTCTTATTTGGGGACTTCGATGTCCTTGTACTGCAACAGCAAATGTTTTGAAAGAAACGAAGAAATCTTGTCTTAAGAAGGAGCGGCAGCAAAAGGACATCTCTTTTGAAGAGTCACATCTCCACTGCCAATGCGATGCAAGTTCCATTTGTGAATCAGTAACTGATATCTTGGCATACCGGTACCGGAATAATTTACTTCCGCCTCAAGCATGTCCCGGCATGCCTTCTGGCTTCTCACTCGGTCGTCCTTGTTTGCGCTTGCTCCGTTTACAGTTGTTACTGTAACGCCCGCCTTCGAGGGCAGCAGTGATGCTTATGCGGCAGCGCTTCACCAACTTTCCGCACAGGGTCTCATAGACTTGGGATGCCCGAGATGCCCTCAGAAGCCGCGACAGAAGAACCTGTCGTGGAGCCGGGGCCAGCTGATGAAAGGTCGAAGCGCTTCCGCTTCAAGTCTAAGTCAGAGGATGACCACCGCAGCGAAGCGAGCTCGAGAAGTCACAAGCGTCGCAAGCACCATCATTCGTCCCATGGAGGTAGGAAGCGGCACCGGTCCTCGAGACACTCCAATGATGCGACCCATGCGCAGAATTACGATTCAAGCCATCTACCTCCAGACCAGGCATTTCGAGAATCGCTGTTCGATGCCATGGGCGATGATGAGGGCGCAGCTTTCTGGGAGAATGTCTACGGCCAACCAATACACAGCTATCCTCACACATACCGAGACGAAGAGACCGGTGAGCTTGAACGCATGACCGATGAAGAATATGCGCAGTTCGTTCGGCGAAAAATGTGGGAAAAGAGCTGGGAAGGGATCGAAGCTGCAAAGGAGGAAAAACGGAAAAAGAGTGAACGTGAGAAGCGGAGAATACGGGAGGAGGAGACCAGGAGACAACGGGCGCGCCAGGCTCGACAGGAGGATCGTATCTTCGACGTTGAGATCGATAACAGCCTGAGACGAGGCGAGAATCGAAAGGACCGCAAGCGGTGGCAGAGACTGTGGGAGGACTATCTCCGCCGCTGGGAAGATCTTCAGAGCCTGGCTCAGAATCAGCAGAAGTCTAGGGAAGACGCCGAGCAGGGCTTTCTACGAAACAAGATTGCATGGCCAGTCGAGACAGGGAAGCGCAAGGATGTGGTGAGAGAAGAGATCGAGTCATTTGTCAAAAAGGGTACCAGTGGCTATGAGGCTGTTGACGGTACAGATCCATTTGCCCATGCCATCAAAACCGAGCGTGTCCGGTGGCATCCCGACAAGATCCAACAGCGCTATGGCTTCATGGATATTGACGAGAATACACTTCAGGGTGTTACAGCAGCCTTTCAGGTATTCGACGACATCTGGAACGAGATTCGTAATCGAGCGACATGACTTGCGGCTTCTTGAAGCAAGCCGCAGCCTACCCTCTAATTCGTCCCGTCCTCGTTGTCATCCTGAGTTTAACCATTGATAGGTTGGTCGCCGCCAGTCCATTCCCTGATAATCTCTTCGGGCACGTCCCTTACTAGGACGTGAACGTGCTCCATACCCGGCACTGATTGCAAAGCAGTCCAGTTCTTGAACCAAATCACTTTTTCCTGTTCGCCTGGCAAGTTTTTGACTCGATCTATAAACTTGGACTGAATGAAATCCTCGACCTGCTGTCTTGACTTGGGAGTCATATCACCTCTGGTAGGCTCTGATTCAAGCCTGCCCTTCAGCCAGACGATGATATGTTTAATCCCGGGTGCCAATCCATACGGCCAGTCATTGACCAGTATCTTGTAATCCGCCGGGTCTGCAAAAGGAACCGGGTTGCGAACCTCGAAATTCGGTCCTCTCTGGGACGAAGGCAACGGGTCCCACTTCAGTCTTTCCTTCATGACAAAATTCGGCACACTTCCATAGGCAGCCTTCGTCTCGGCTGACCATTTCATATAGCGTCTCAGGTCGGACGGCCGTCTTTTGAGGACGCTGAGATTGTGCTCAGCTATGTAGGCGTTCAGTCAGAAAGATGCTCTGACCGATTAATCATGACGATCGCCAACAGCACACACCAATAATCTGTTTGAGCTCGTCCCATGTGTGAGGACGAAATTCTTCATCCGTCATGGCCAGCACAGCACGATCCACTGCCGTGAGCGCAAATGGGGACGGCGTATTTTCGGAATCTGGGGGCACCGCCATATTGCCGATGGCTCTCGGCAAGAGATTCGAGTACAAGTGAGCGTGGTGTTCTGCCGGACTGGTTGACCTAAGGTGGTCAGGGGTGGTGTGCTCTTTGCATTGATGGAACTACGAACAGACCCGAAGGGCTGACGTTCTGCGCCTCTGCAGCCACTTGACAACCCCAAAAGTCGCAGTCAGACCCAAGAGACGCGCTCGCACACGCTGTACCCTTCGTGTATCTAATGCTCGCCAACTCAGGTTGCCCGACGTCTTTATTGACGGTCTGCGGTTGACGGAGTACAGAAGCTGCCTCGTTCGACATTCGGTCTGTGGCACCTACGTGTGAAGATTGTACAAAGTATATACACAGTACTCCGTGCAGTAGAATAAAACAAGGCGAGTGTATCCGGTCAGGCGATGACTTTTTTCTCAATACTCGGATGCCGCTGTCTGCCTTCCGCTATTCGGAAAGGCCCCGCGCTTTCTCACCAAATCCAGGCAAGCAAACCCCCCACAAAAGCCGACAACAGGGAGTTACTCGCACAAGATGGGAGTCTTCGGTGCTGGTCAAGGCTCGCCAGGTTAGCATCCCGCAACGGAGCCCCACGCGCCTGTCTCTCACCGTGGTCCCTGCCGATGATCGCAGTCGAGACCTGCCAATTTCCCCAATCCCGATATAATTTTGACCCCAACCACAACACCGTGCGGCAGCCTTCTATCACTCTGCTCTCGTAGTGTCGAGGTGAACTTGTCGTCGTCGCGGTGAGAAGAGGAGAGCACTGGTATCAACGTCCGCAACAATGGGGTAGGGTCTCACTCGTCCCTGAAATTTCCTTCATCTCTCGCTCACCTCGTTCCAGGAATCCAGCATTTTCGCAAGCGAACATCAACGGGGTCTATATCCCTTCGGTGTTGCTGATCGTCGGAGTCGCAATCATTAAGAGAGAATACGTCCCTTACGCAGTTGCTTTCGCTGCGCTTGTGGGAGGCTACAAGATCTTCGCCAGCGGGCCTCGTAAGTGATCCGAGCGCTCTGAACAAGCGAAATGCGTGTTGACTCTTTTGCCTTGCAGCATCGCCGAGAAAAGTTCTCAAGCCAGACATCTTCCAAGAATTCCCTCTCACAGACATCAAGAAGACCTCGCACAATGTCGCCATCTACCGCTTCGGTTTGCCCAGGCCAACCGATATTATTGGTCTGCCCATCGGTCAACACATGTCTTTGGCAGCAACCCCCAAGGGTGCCGATAAAGAGGTCGTCCGCTCATATACCCCAATCACATCAGACGAGGACAAGGGCTTTTTCGAGCTCCTGATCAAGTCGTACCCTCAAGGCAATATTAGCGCGCACATGACCACACTCAAGATTGGGGATACCATGAAAGTGCGAGGTCCAAAGGGAGCCATGGTCTACACTCCGAATATGTGCAAGCGCATTGGTATGATTGCTGGTGGGACAGGCATCACGCCAATGTTGCAAATCATTCGTGCCATCAATCGTGGCCGGCCCCAGGACACCACGAAGGTGGATCTAATCTTTGCCAATGTCAATCCCGACGACATCCTGCTGAAGGAGCAGCTGGATGCCTTGGACAAGGAAGACCCTAATTTCAGCGTGTATTACGTCCTGAACAACCCACCAGAGGGATGGAAGGGCGGAGTCGGTTTCGTGACTGCTGATATAATCAAAGAGAGACTCCCACCCCCAGCTCCCGACATGAAGATTCTGATCTGTGGTCCTCCACCGATGGTCAGTGCCCTGAAGAAGGCCACCGAAAGTCTCGGGTATCAGAAAGCCAGACCAGTCAGCAAGCTCGAGGATCAGGTCTTCTGTTTCTAGACAGCACGGTTCAATATTTCGTGATGACATGGCGCAATGGTCACAGGAACAGAAACAGCGAAATTGCAAGCCAAAGAAGCATCGGCGGTCTCGTTTTCTGGCTTCGGGCTGGATGGATGGGGGAGGCCCAGTGTTGCTTGTGATGAGCACACCAATGTTGTAAACGAGCCCTCAAGACCAAGAATAAAGGCTCACTAGCCATTTCACGATGTATGGAAGGGATCATGAAAGAGAGACGTTCAGTACGAGTACATTCAATCTGCGTACGAGCATGGCTGTGGCTGTGGCTGTGCGCTAATCAAGTGCACACTTCGATACTCCGTACTCTGTACAGAGTACACAGTCCTGGTGTATCTTTATCTATCGCCTGTCTTATCAATCACTGACGTCAAAGTTGTATGGAGTACTCGATACACCACCCACTCAACCCACCACTCACCCAACCCTTACCATGTAGGTGACCCTGGAGAATGGCAGCCAAGATGCGAGAACTCGTGCATCCGCGTCTTCCAGATCGTCCTGCATTCCTCTCCTAACGCTTTAACCCAATGACTTTCATTCGTCAGTCAAGCGAGCCCACGTATCCCGAGTGTGGCGCAAGCTCTGGGCGCATTTGTTTCCGCCATTAGAATACCACCGATCTTGCTGCCCAAGCATCTTGATGATCTCCTGGTCAATGATGTCGTCGTTTTCCCTTCCGTGATTTTCTTGGCTATCAGGTATACCAAGATGACTTTGGTTGATCCAAGTCCCAAATGTCGTCCCAAGGCATGTAAAGTGGCATTCTGACTCACTGGCTTCATGGAGTCCTGCCCATTTGTGTCGTGTAATCGTACTAGTATCGTGCTTTTAGACCTCACTTGACGAGAACCCGCTCCAGCCGTTCAAAAGTACGAGATATCCTGTCTAAGTGTTCTGCAATTGTCCCTCTATACATCATTAGGTCCTCCTATAGCAGACAGGAGAAACCCGTGCAGGCTCTGCTTGGTCCGTCCTGGAAGAGTCGTATAGAAAATAAAAACACGGTCCGGCGCATGCAAGAGCATAGCACAATCCCCCAGCGCGACTGAGCAACGATGGAAACTCGACCCTAGATCCTATACGACAAAGCATCACCTTTATACCTCAGCCTTTCGAGTCCTTCTTCTCCCTCGGCGGCGCGCGCGGCACGACCACTTTATCACCATGAAATCATCGTGTCCAACCTCGACATCAGCCCTCCTCCTCCTCCTCTCACTCCTTGCCTATTGTATAGCTCAGTCGACGAACTCGAGCTTCCCCAAACGGGGTCTCTGCTACATTGGAACTGACAACTCCGAATCCGATGCCTCGATCTTCACCCACCGGAACAGTCCCCTGACGTGGTACTACAACTACAGTCCGTGGCCAGGGCCCGGCTCCTCGCTCACGCGGTGGACGACCGAATTCGTGCCGATGGTCCACTCGGCCTCGGACGCCGTCGCCGCGGTCGACACCATACAGGGCATCTTGAACGGGTCACTGAGGGTGCCCGTGGCATCAACTCCCAGCCGACGCGGGAACCACATCCAGCACGTGCTCACGTTCAACGAACCCGACGGCGACACCTCGTCGGGAGGGTCCGACTCGTCACCCTCGCACGCCGCGCAAGTCTGGCTCGACACCGTCGCCCCGCTCCGCGGGCCGCCGTACAATCTGAGGGTGTCGCTGCCCGCGACCACGGGCTCGCCCCGCGGCCTCGAGTGGCTGAGGGACTTCAACGCGTCGTGCTACCGCCTCAACCGCACGGCCGGGTGTGCCTTCGACTTCGTGGCCGCGCACTGGTACGGCGATTTCGTCGGCTTGAGCTCCTGGCTGGGCCAGCTCCGCGAAATCTACCCGGCCAAACCGATCTGGGTGACCGAGTTTGCCATCCCCAGTGTGTCGGACGAGGAGACGGAGGCGTTTATGAACCAGTCGCTGCCGTACCTCGATAGCTTGGATTACGTCGACCGGTATGCTTGGTTCGGCGCGTTCAGGCAGAGCGATGCGAATGAGTGGACCGGGGACGGGGTCAGTCTGTTCGATCGCGACGGAGATCTGACTGAGCTGGGGGCTGTGTGGATGGGTGGGGAGCAGAACGCGTTCGAGGAGGGGACGAGTGCAGGTAACGATGGCGGTGATGATAATGGTGGCGGTGGCGTGGTGAGGTGGGATGGTCGGTTATTGGTGCTATGCTTGGTGATAGGCATCATAGCGTATATATGGTGAGTGTCGACCACGTGGGCAGTACGCTGTACTACCATGCATGACGTGGATGTTCTCGCAGAGTTATAGATCCTGGGACAGGATGTGGAATTCATGAATGATGACCATGGACTTTCGTTCCATCCCGTCTTTCTGACCTTGGGGTATCTATCTTCGTGAACTTCAATGATTCGTCTCGGTCGTTGCAAACGGTCGTCCAGGCCCAGCAGGTTCCGTGCTGGTGTTGTCTAATACATGACAGAGTGCGCTCGTTCTCCGCCATAGGCCCATTTACAGAGCCATCTCATGTAAATCACTCTTCCTTGACGCCCAGGAAATACGCAAACGTGCCCTTATTTCTTGTCTTCCCACTTGTAAGGGCTACTCTCCCCCATGTTTGATGCCCAGGAAATGAATGCCCTCCAAGTTGAAGTGATAGAGGAGTTTCAGAAAGTCGGCCTCGTCGCACATGCGAGCCCTCTTGTCCGCCAACGCCGTCTTGTCTTCCAGGACTGAGCGGACCTTTTCTCGCACGAGGACAAACACTTTGTCGCGCTTCTTGCGGGACGGTGTCCGCTCTGGCAGCTGCTGGGACTTTGATGCTAATTGTTCTTTGAGGAATGTGGGGAGGGAGTCCTCGTCGTCGTCAACATCCATGAAGCCACCCCATTCCTCGGCTTCATCGCCCTCGAGAACCTGGTCCGGATCTTCTTGAAAGTTTTCCACTTCCATCATTGTTGATTCTTCGGTCGGCCCTTCCTCGATAGGGACATTGTTCTGAGCACAGAACGTGCGGTAGTTCTGTTCGAGCATGCTCAGAACACTGTTTGTGCCCAGGAAATTCGCCCTTAATGTCTTGTTTTTGCGCACAAAACATATCCGCAACAGGCCGTCCCACTCCTCGTAGCTGATGTTCGGTCTGGGATTCTTCGGCACAAGCCTCACGACGCTGGACTCAACTTGAGGCGGTGGCTTGAAGTTGTTCTTGCCTACTTTCATGATGTGGTCGATCTTGGCCCACATCTGCGCATTCACGCTCAACCGACTGTAGAGTTTGTCTCCGGGTTTGGCGAAGAGCCGCATGGCGAATTCGCGCTGGAACATCAGGATACATACCCTGGCGGGCGGATTGTGCGCCAATAGCTTAAATACCAGGGGACTGGAGATCTGATACGGCGTGTTGGATATGCACACGTCGAAGTAGGGCAACGGATCCGTCTTGATCACATCGCCCAACACCACGTCTAACCGCTTCTGCATGCTCGTGCCCTGAACTCGCTTCGTCACTTCGGCAGCCATGCGGGGGTCCAATTCCACGGCGATGCATTTCTTCGCCTGTTCGAGGATCTTCACGGTGAGATTCCCGCTACCCGGGCCAACCTCTAATACGATATCCGACTGTTTCAGGGAGGCCTTGTCGACGATCGCCTGCGCGACGCCGGGGTTCTTCAGCACGTGCTGGCCGAGTGTCGTGTTCATGCGGAAGATTGCGTTGGAAGTGGAGGAGGGGGCCGTGGCGGGCGGTTTATTGTACGGCGAGGACGGGGACGAGGACGATGCGCCAGGGCGCTTGCGCGAGTTGACCTTGGGCATTTTGGGCAGCTCTGTCGAGGATAAAGATGGACAGAGAGTCAGCCCAGCCCGAGAGGCGAAGTGCAAGTAGAGAGACGCAGATTAAATGCTACAACGACGGGCAGGAATCAAGGTCTGGGACTTTTTTGTGGATTTGTTTGGCGGTGAAAAGCGGCAGAAAGTTTTGGGCCTGCGATTCGAATCGATGTTACGCGAAACTCAGCGTCGGGTCAAGGCGACAGCGACAGGGACAGGAATAGCGACTGCCTGTCTGCCTACCGACTAACTTGATTTCATCGTCTTTCAATCTCTCTCTAGAATCTGTCTCCATCATTATCCGTTTTGATCTCGCTGTTGGTCTCAGGGCGCTGCCTGACGCCGCCCGCTGCTCATCATGTCGCGACGTGATTTCCTCAACCAACAGGCTCCCGAAAACTACGTCGCCGGTCTAGGTCGAGGCGCAACCGGCTTCACGACGCGATCCGATCTCGGGCCTGCTCGCGATGGTCCCAGTGCGGAACAGATTCAGGAGGCGCTCGCCAAACGAGCTCAGCAATTGGGCGCCGCACCTCCAACAGCATACGGCGCAACAGCAAAGAAAACAGAACAGGAAGAGGAAGCGGACGATGATCGATTCGCTGATCCAGACAATGAAACCGGCCTCTTCGCTTCCGGCACATTCACGCAGGATGATGACGAGGCCGACCGGATCTATCAGGACGTCGATGAGAAGATGCTCAAACGCCGGAAGAGACCTAGGTTAGTACTACACCACGTCCCTCATGCCCTCCCCTTCCGAGTCGAGACACCTGGTTTATCTTTGCCACTTGTGAATGAACAGATTACCGACATGATTCCTTCGCCGTCCTCTAGGGAAGAACGAGAGCGAGAAGAACTTGAAGAATATAACCGCAACAATCCTAAGATTGCCGAGCAGTTCGCCGACCTGAAACGAGGTCTTGCCTCGCTGACCGACGACGACTGGGCGAACATTCCTGATCCAGGCGATTTGACGGGAAAGAATCGACGCGCCAAACAGCAGCGCATGAGCCAGCGGTCCTATGCTGTGCCTGACAGCGTCCTCGCGAGGGCGAGAGATGCTGGCGAGCTGTCCACTAGTGTGCAAGATGGAGAACCTGATGGTGCCGTTACCAGTGCGGACAACAAGGACGGGACGATGACAAACTTTGCCGATATTGGGGCTGCCCGAGACCGAGTGCTCCAGACTAGATTGGACCGTGCAGCAAAGGCCGACGCTGGCACAGGGACTGCCACCACCATTGACCCGAAGGGCTACCTCACGAGTCTCGACACTGCAGAATTTGACCCATCCAAGGTCCAGCTCGGCGAGATCGAGAGAGTTCGAGAACTGCTTGACTCGGTCATCAGAACGAATCCGAAGCACGCCCCAGCTTGGATTGCGGCCGCGCGGTTGGAAGAATACGCCGGCAAGATTGTTGCGGCACGGAAGAAGATGGCTCAGGGCTGTGAGATGTGTCCCAAGAGCGAGGATGCGTGGCTGGAGAATATCCGTCTAAACGAAGGACACAACGCGAAGATTATCGCAGCGAACGCCATCAAAAATAATGAACGATCAACGAGGCTTTGGATCGAGGCTATGAAGCTGGAGACGGACTCTCGGGCAAAAAAGCGTGTTCTTCGGCAGGCGATTGATCACATCCCACAGTCGGTCGCGATCTGGAAGGAGGCAGTCAACCTAGAAGAAGATCCAGAAGATGCGAGGTTGTTACTGGCAAAGGCCACCGAGATCATACCGCTATCAGTCGAGCTCTGGCTTGCTCTTGCGCATCTTGAGACGCCTGAGAATGCGCAGGCCGTGCTCAACAAGGCTAGGAAAGCCGTGCCGACCAGCTACGAAATCTGGATTGCCGCAGCACGACTGCAGGAACAGATTGGCAACGCCAACAAGGTCAACATCATGAATCGTGCTGTCAAGGCGCTGGTGAAGGAAGGTGCCATGCTCAAGCGCGAAGAATGGATCGAGCAAGCCGAGAAGTGTGAAACCGAGGGTGCCGTCCTGACTTGTGGTGCCATCATTCGAGAAACTCTTGGTTGGTCCTTGGACGAAGACGACGATCGAAAGGAGATCTTCATAGACGATGCCAAGGCGAGTATCGGACGGGGAAAGTTCGAGACCGCCAGAGCGATCTACGCATACGCTTTGCGGGTGTTCCCCACCGCCAGATCCTTGTGGCTTGCGGCTGCTGATCTGGAGAGGAATCACGGCACCAAACACGCATTATGGCAGGTGCTGGAAAAGGCCGTTGAAGCTTGTCCGCAGTCGGAAGATCTTTGGCTGCAACTTGCGCGCGAGAAATGGCATGCGGGTCAAGTGGACGATGCCCGACGTGTGCTCGGCAAAGCTTTCAATCAGAATCCCAACAATGAAGAGATCTGGTTGGCCGCGGTCAAGCTGGAGGCTGACGCTAAGCAAGTTGACCAGGCACGAGAGCTACTTGCAACCGCCAGGCAGGAAGCCCCCACGGAACGTGTGTGGTATAAGAGTGCGGCGTATGAAAGGCAGCTGGGAAATATCGATGTCGCTCTCGATCTGGTCCTCCAAGGTCTGACCTCGAGAGTCATCGATAAGAAAGAGACTCGCTTTCCCCGAAGTGCTAAGTTGTGGATGATGAAGGGCCAAATCTACGAGGACAAAGGCATGGTTGCGCAGGCACGAGAGGCTTACGCGCAGGGCACGCGGCAATGTCCCAAGTCTGTACCTCTATGGCTTCTTGCTGCAAGGCTCGAACAGAAAGAGGGCATCATCATCAAAGCCAGGTCTGTCCTCGACCGAGCACGACTACAAAACCCGAAGAATGCAGACTTATGGGCAGAAAGCGTCCGAGTGGAGCTCAAGGCCAAACCGCCCAATGTGCAACAAGCCAAGATCTTGATGTCCAAGGCACAGCAAGAATGCCCAAAATCAGGGCTTCTCTGGTCCGAAAATATCTGGAATTTACAGCCGCGCACACAACGAAAACCACTTTCGCTCGAAGCCATCAAAGCGGTGGATAACGACCCCATCCTATTCGTCACAGTGGCGCGCATTTTCTGGAGCGAGCGCAGACTCGATAAGGCAATGAATTGGTTCGAGAAAGCTATCGTTCTGGATGCCGACCTGGGGGACACGTGGGCTTGGTACCTGAAGTTCCTGATGCAGCACGGGACCGAAGAAAAGAGGGAGGATGTCATTGCCAAGTGTGTTGCGAATGAGCCCAAGCATGGGGAGGTCTGGCAGCGAGTGAGAAAGGATCCGAAGAATGCATACTTGAGTACGAAGGAGGTGCTGTTAGAGGTGATGCAGCAGCTGGAGCAGAAGGAGTTGATCAGTTAGTGACTGATAGACTCGTCTCGACTGTGTAGGCTCAGGCCCACGTGATTCTCAACGCTAGGGCGAAGCCTTCGGGAGACGCCGCAAATCGCTGCCGTTCATTGGTGCACCACTCTGCCACGGTCTATGATGTCATCCAAATCGGCCCTGGGGAAAGTCGAAGGTGGCAGAGTGCGATTGCAGTCAATGCTGTCATGGAGTGACTGAGGGCATCATTCTCGCCTCGATAGGGCATGGTCTCTGCTGTCATCACCCTGATCATCCGGAGCGACACTACTCGTGCGAGTACTCGTACACAGTAGCTCGCATCTCGCAGAATGAAGACGCAACCAAAGGGCTGATCGCGGTGACGTCCAGGTTGCTCCATCGGGTCATTAATCCGCTGCAATAACTTCGTTCGGCGCGCCAGTAGCAGACGAAAGTGATGGATAGTGATCGTGTGCCTGTGGTGAAGGTTCGTCTTTCAATATCTCTGAAGCAGCCGTTGGCCTCAGTTTACTTTCTGTTAACTCATGAACTCCAGAACATTTCTCCGTCTTAGTAGCCAGCTGCAACCCCAAAGATTGTCAACAGTACAGCTCAACCGGATTGCACCTTCATTCCAGAAAACACCTGCGAGAGCCCACGCCTCGATCTCGCCTAAATCTCTCTCCTGTCATCACCACCTCACTTCCTCCCGACCTTCTTCCTTTTCTCCCTCTCATCCCAAGCATCCCTTCACAACCACCAAAATGAGCAAAGAGCAAGACCACAAACGGTCGAAGCAAACAGGAGATGACGAAGACTCTCACCAGCACCAGGCCGGTTCTCGGACCGATCGTGACATCGATGAGTGGAAGCATCGCGAACCCTACGCTGTCCACGACGTCGAGAAAAATGAGAAGTTCTCCGTCAAGTGGGAGGGTGCGTGCCATTGTGGAAAAGTCACATATCAGTTGAGCAGGGAGAAGCCGTTGGCGGCGAAGTACTGCCACTGCACGACTTGTCAGAGATTACACGGTGTAAGTATTCCTTCCCGGTGGGGAATATCATCCAGCCGGTCCTTCGATTGTGTGTGGTACCCTGACCATCAGGCTGACATCCTCGACAGGCCCCATTCCAGTGGGCCGCCATCTTCCACAAATCCGACATCAACTTCACCAACGGCCACCACGAACTAGGCTGGTACGACCCCACCGCCAAATCGACCACCCACCACCTCCCCTGCAAGGTTTCGTGTGCATACTGCCGCTCCCCGATCATGGACGAAGGCCGTAACATGATCCTGCTCTTCCCACCACTGATCAAGAAGATCAACACTCCTGAGGGCCGCGAAGCTTTTCGACCAACCTGCCATATGTTCTATGCTCAGCGCGTCGCAGAGGGTTTCAAGGGCGATGGTCTTGTGAAGTGGAAGGGACTGGACAATATGAGCGACTTGCTTGACGATGATGAGAACGTATTGGTGAAGTGGGAGGATGGCCTTGACGAGCAGAAGATGGACGAGAAGAAGAGAGAGTTCTTGGAGTTCACGCAGAAGGAGGGCGAAGTGAAGCGAGTCAAGAAGAGCGATGATTGAGAGTGCGCGTCGAGTCTCAAACGTACAAGCGCCACTCGGGTGTGGCGAGGCCGCCGTACCATGGGTGCTGTAACGGCATGATATCCAGGCATGGACCGGGCACAAATGTGTACGTGTATCAAACACACAAGAGCAGCCGTTGCAATGCAAGAACATCTCGAAGGGTGACACAAATGAAAGGTGTCGATGCCAGGGCAATATCCCATCCACGTGGTGTTCCTGCCACTGCGCACACTTTTTGAGGTTCGTCGTCGAGGGTAACGACATGCAATTCGACGAACTCTATCAGCACATACACCTCGTTCTGTACCGTTGCTACCTTTCCAGCGACTGACCTTGCCGAAAAGACCCTCTTATTGCACGTCGCAGCCACGGAGACCTTTACAAGGGATCACCATACGTTCGTATTTGCGGTAATCGAGGGACTGGAAGAAAACGTTCTCCCGCGTCGCATGTTACGCCTTGTCGACGTGCAAGTCATATCTGCACACGAATGAGGTTGAGGAGCATGATTATAGGCAACCTGGTCGAACTGTTCAATGCCCGAGTCGCTGACGAGTTGCTAAAATGTAAGTCTTCCGAACAATGAGCGAGATTCTACTGTCCCTATTGGCGAACTTGGACCGGGAGGGGAGGGGGGCATTCATGGGCTTTACCTCACTCATGCCGAGGGTTCGTTCCAATCTTTCACTGTCTCATACCTGACCATCTGGCTTCTCTTCCGGCGGGTATGCCTCACACCTCACCATTGGGCTTTTCTTCCCATCGGACATGCCGTTAAAAGGGCAAGCCGGCTGCCGCGCAGAAACCTACATCAAGTGTTGTATCCTATACTTCCCATCCTTCCATCTGCAGCCGCAACTGCTGATAGCTCACAGGAAGCAAACTCCAGGCTCCAACAAGAAGAAGGAGACCGCTGTCTCCTTCGAGACCCTCAGATCTCCCCTCCCCCTGCGCCCAGGAGGAGAACCCGATCTTTCACCAAACCTGTCCAAGCACAAATCCCTGCGGGGTATTTCCTGCAGCCATTACGAAGACTGTGAAGAGTGAGAGTGAACATGGGCACGTTCTCGGCAACGAACAGGGCGCATCGATGCCGTATCCAAATTGGTGCTGTGCATGTGTGGCTATGGGCCGGCTTATGAGGTTGACGAAACTTGTCCCTTGCCTACAGGTATTCACCACTACAGCATCGCAGGCCAGTACCAGGAAGTGACGGATCTGGTCCGGCGACTCGGTCACAGTGGGCGATCGACTCAGAACTTAGAGCCCGTTCGACAACCAGCATCAACCACTATGAGAAGCCGCTCTTCTAACCTCGAGGGGACGAGCATTCGGCACCTTTGCCGATCACCAACGCCGATCTGAACAATGATCAACCTGGGAAGGAAAGAGTTGGGAAACTTGGGCAAGGCTGTCACTATTAAACGGCGAGGACAAACCAGGACTGATGGCTTGCTTGTCGACCCGTCACCGACCAGCATTCAAAGCTACAGAGTCACAGTTATTTGGCCTTCTATCAGGTCAAATCTCCCTTTTCCTACCCGTACCGAACACTCCAATAATCGTACATCGACTTGCTCGTTAGAGACATGATTGGCCTGGACCCAACTCTTTTCTTCATTGCTGAGCCGCACTTCTTTAGGCACCTCTTTCAAACCAGCCACCAGGGAAGGGTATCAGAGCATGAGAACAAAAGCCAAAAGTATGCCGCCGGCCACCATCCACCATTCCACTCCTTCATCAAACGAATGCTGCACGCAACTCATCACATACATTGGTGATGACCGTCCTGCCGGCCTCCAAGATCGCATCCATTGCCGGGAAGGGATGCGGCATTCTTGCCACGACGTTCACTTTGGCTGGGACGCCATTGGCACTTAGCCTCCTGGCATATTCCTCCCCATCGTGTTTCAGTATGTCCAGTTCTCCGACGACAATATACGCCGGTGGTAACGTCCTGAAAACGTCATCCGAGGCCAGTAGAGGAGATGCACTCCAAGACGACCAATCCGACAAGTTCGGCAGGTAGTAGCTCCGGTACCAGAGCATCTTCGCCGCAGGGAGCTGAGCCGTGAACTCGAACTCTTTCCAGGAAGGACTGGATTCGGGAGTGGCTGTGTTGTCGGTTATAGGGACGACCAGGACCTGCAAGACTAGGGACACGCCAGGCTGTGGTCTCGATGCGGCCTTCTGAGCGGTCACGGCCGCGATGTTCCCGCCGGCCGAGGTGCCTACGATCGCCACTTTACTCAAGTCCAAATTGAGCGGCCTCTGTGCTTCTGATACCGTCCATAAATACGCCTCCCATGCGTCATCGATGGCAGCAGGGAAAGGGTCCTCAGGCGCGAGCCTATACCACGAGCCCCAGTCAGCAAAGCTCCAACCAAACAAGGAGGACGTGGCAAAGCAGCTCACCGATAGTTGGTCGAAATTACCACCGCGCGAGACCGGACACACATGTTGCTGCAGATGGTCATTTCAGTATCGGCCTGCCCAAAGACCCAGCCTCCGCCATGGTAGTAGACCGCAACGGGCCAGCCATTGGGGGGTGCGTCCCCGGGCGGAACTAGGCAGACAGTGTGGACCTCTGGACCAGGACTCTCCCTTCGAGGGATCGAGAATTCGAGGATCTTGCCGACGGGGAGCGGTTGGCTGTGCGTTTGCGGAGGGCCTTCCTGGTTTCGAGCCTCGGTGACGGTGCAGTGCCAGACCGGTTTCCTGTGTGCGAGATGCGTGTTGTAGTACTCCAGGTATACGGGATCCAATCGAGCCTCGACGGCAGGATCAAGTCGACATGGTGGAAGTCCGTCGTCAGCCATCTTCAAGCTCGACTGCACTTTGGGGCTTGGATGCAACAAGACAGAGATCTTCGTGTCCTTCTGCAGGACTTATGATCTAGCTGAGCGGGCGTCGAGGGAGTGCCGCAAAACTCAGGCCGTCGTGGTGACGCTTGGGACTATTGGCACTGGCAACACATACCGGGGTTGGTGTTGGTCTGCCCATGCTCAGTGGTACTCGACTGTGTATTCATATGCCATGTTAGCCCTTCGTTAATGCAGGCACCGCTGCAGGGAGGGTCTGATCGCCCCGCACCTCAGCCAATCATGCATTATTCCGGGCTTGTGAGATCTTCCGTCGCACCAGTGGCGTCAGTCAATCACCGACTCCACCACGCGCGGCTCCGCTTGATTCGCCTCCAGACCCTTTAGGCCTCGGAAAGTACAGGTGGGTCAGTCGCGAGCCAATAACAAGCCGATTGCCAGACCCACCCACTATTCCGCCTGCTGAACCCCACGTTTTTCGCTTTCAATTTGTGATCGAGTCGGCGGTGAAAATTCACTTGGCCAGGACAAGGGCTGTGTATCCGTACCACCGGACTTGAGCCTGCGACAGGGAAACAACAGACAGGATACTCGTGCGACCTCCTACGAGAAGACGGTCGAACCCTCAGGACAGGCGCTGCTCCCCCTTCGCATCCGAGCGAGCGTCTTGGAATTTCGGATCGCAGGCTCCGTATCCGAAGTAAGGGAGCGACAATCGCGTCCAAGGTTCTGATCTCCTTTCCCCCCGATCTCCCAATCTCTTACCCACCTCCACCCGCTTGTCCTGCCGCGGCGGCTGGATCAGGCTTGGTCTTGTCTGGCCGTTCGTGGTCTCACAAGGCTCCCTCTGGTCTGTTCGGGGCATTGCTGGTTCTTGACAGCCGCCACATTCCATGTCACCTGGCCCTTCTCTGCTGCAACTCGCCTAGTGGCAAGATGCCATCCCCGGAGAATTTGGAAGTTGGCACCTTTTGGATCAGCTGGATCAGAGACTCCGTTTCTTATCCAAGGGTCATTTGTCATGATTCATCATGCCCATTGAACTCAGCTATTTCCATCACATGGCGCTAATATCTTCCCGCGTGTGATACCGAAGCAAGTGCCCTCTCGATCGCACTTAATTCCCCACCCCTCGCCATTGCCCTCTGCAGCTCTCACCGAACTATACTCATTGATCTCAAACCTGTGCCGGCCTAGCTGCAGATGGCTGGTGGGCATCTGGCGAGACGCATGGGTCACGCACGGGAGAGTCGCAGCAACGACACACCTCCGGTATTCTGGTCGGAACAAACATCAGTTCGCCCTTGCCGGCTCACCCTTGCCTCGAGATCGCCATAGTGACAAGCTGGTCCCCAGAACTGCGAGCACCCAAAATGACAAACAAGGAAACGCAAGGCAAGTCGGACGCAAAGTCCGCACGAAGTTTGAGCAACCTTGGGCGCGACCCCTTTTGAAGTTCGGCTTCGTATTGGATCTCCGTTCAAAGGCGTGGCACCCGATCGTCAAAGTTCGACCCTCACTCCCAAGGCGTAAATCCTCCGGATTAAGGTCGGAAGGCCTGCGCCTGCTGAGTTAACTTTATTCCTTCGATCGGCTATCGGTTCCAAATTCTTGGGACGCCAGATCGTCAAGTGTGAGTCCATCCTCCGACCCAGACTCCGCTAGGTGCAGTCTGCCTCTCGTTGGTATCAATCCTTGTTTAGACTTCCTCCTCTGTGCTGCAGAAGAATTGGCACTCTCAAAAGGTCATCCTGGTCGGTCCGGTGAGCATGCATGCGCGGGAGCCAACGAATTCACGGTCAGGTCCCCTATCCCTTTAGCCTCATTCGATTGGTGGAATACTTCTGATGGCCTGCTAGCCCGTGGCATGCTGGCAGTGGACAAAGTATATCGATCGCCCCATACCTTGCGATATTGTACTTGGGCGGGAAGATGGTAGCGCAAGCTCTTGCGCCCGGTTCAATGGTCCGGAGGACATGCTTCAGCTCGTGGTCGGAACCTCTGGTCGCCTTGGGCTTTGAGAGCCTCAAGCAAGTTCAGGAGGCGATCCCTCAGCTTCGTTCCAACAGCCAAGCACATTGAAGGAAACAGCATTGTTGGCCAGCCCGGATGTTAACTTCGCCCTTGTAATCTGGCGGTGCTTTCCAGATCTTGGTGATGCGTTCAGGATCAGTGGCTTGGATATGCATGCCCACCTTTTCGGTTCCGCTTCTTGAGCCATCAGATGGCCCTGTCGTCACAGACGCCCCAAGCCCGCAGCCTTCCACAAGATCAAGGTTGTCAGCCTGGAGTTCAAGGAACATCCTTCCGTATGCCTGCACCATTGCTCCGCAATCTTGAAATGCCATTGGCTTCATTCCCAGCCGTCCATTGATCGGCGGCACGCGCAGAGCAAATACTATTCATGGCAGCGGTCTCGCTCTTCAGTCGCTCTGCAAACTGGTAGCATCAAGCTGAGGAATTCTGGAGCCGCCCCACGAGGCCCGGTATATACAAAGCGCAACCTATGTACACCAGTAGCGTCAATGGTTTTAGCCTTCCACTTCTCGAGATCTCGAGCTGAACTTCCAAAAGCTAGCCTTCTCGGATCGGACACCTGAGACGACATCTCAGCCTAGTGCTTCCTAATCCCAGCTGTCTCTCGTATTGTCGATGATGGTACCTAGTCGTGATCTCAAAGGGTTCCGGTCTCAGCTACAAAACGATTCGACACTTCGAACATCCCGTCGATCTGAACATCTTTCCTTCCGGCCTCCGCGACGTATCGCAGGGCTTCAGGGGGCTGTTACGAGAGTATGTACACGGTCGGACCTTTCTAATCCTCGTGCAGATTTGTCATGGATTACCGAAGATGCATATCTGTCCGTCTGTCTGGCTGTCAATCAATCTGCCACGAGCACCACATGATACCAATTGAAGGCGATCTCTGCAAGGTTAGTGCCCCCTGTGTGCCCCGTCTGTCGGTGCATACACGAGGATCTCGACCTGAGGATCAGCGCTGTCGGTCTTTGCTGTCCCTGGGCCGATCTTCCAATTTTCCCGATCGTATACATAATTGTACGGCCCGTGACGGGGGCCAGTCACGAGCAATTTTGAGTTTTTCTCCCACAAAAGTCAGCCACGCCGTGCATGCATGCATGCCACATTTGATCAAGGCGTTGCAAGGCAGATAATCCGTCCGTCCGTGGACGGCGTACTTGTGGTGGTGGCATTGGGTACGTGGCAGATTCTCACCGATCGTCGTCAAACTTTCTCATTCCCCCGTGTACGAGTACGAGGACGAGGACAACTCGGGGAAGAGATCGGCAAGTTAGAGAATGAGTAAGAGACAGAACAACGGAATCCATCTCCGGGTCCAAGACTTTCTTCGCCCCTGGACGATTGTCGAGAGTCTTGGCTGTGAGGTTGTGAGGTTGAAGTACGGAGTACGGAGTACTACATACCTAAATACATACCTAAATACATACCTAAATACATACCTAAATACATACCTAAATACATACCTACCCCGTGCCGGACCATGAAGTGAATATCGCTGACTAGTTAATAGTGGCGTGTTAGGTGGGTGTGCAGTTGTCCCGCTACACTGCAGTATATACGGTAACTAACTAATCAGCGGCATACACAGAACACTGTACATACTGTGTACTGTAGTATGTGCAGAAGTGCTTCCCGCTCGTGCTTCTGCCCCGTAAAGCCTAAACGATCATGGCGGGCTACATGCAGTGTGCAGTGTGCAGTGTGCAGTGAACAGTATCGTGCATACGGTATCTTTAGGCAGCGAATATAAAGAAACGAACAAATGATTGGTTCGAGAATCGTTCGGAAGTGACTGACTTGCTGTCTGGCTGTCTGGCTGTCTGGCTGTCTGGCTGGCTGGCTGGCTGGCTGGCTGGCTGGCTGGCTTGCTGGCTGGCTCTCTGGCTGAAACAAGCCTCTCCCGCCTGAATGCGGTGTAACTAGGTATGGTAGGAAGGCTGGGTAAGTCGCGGGACAGCAGAGACAACGACATTGACGGCGCCATTGGCACACTTTCCAGCCGACAAGTCTGCCTCACGTCGTCCCTTATCCTAACCATGTAAGTATGTAAGTATGTAAGTATGTAAGTATGTGTACACTTTACATCCTGTACTCCGTCCCGGGGCAGCACGCAGACAACCCGTGGCATGAATTCGCCCTTCTCCTCTCCCTACTGGCCAAATCACATACACATGTGCCGCGACAGGCAAAAGGAAAACCTGCAACGCGCGCGGGAGCGAGACAATATCACGTACATAGGTACCCAGGTACCTGGGTAACTTAGTGTGCAGTACAGGACTGGGCAGGATAGGGTGGGATAGGAGAGGAGAGGAGAGGAGAGGAGAGGATAGGATAGGATAGGATAGGACAGTACTCCGTGCGAGTACAGTATGTTGGCCTTTGGTTCTGCCCCCTGCCAAAGCTGTGCATGGTCGCCTTTTGATTATAGACGTGTAAGTAAGTTGAGTTGAATCACGTCAAGGTGCGTTGAGTTATATATTGGCTGCGTCGAGTTGCCTTGAGCTGTGTTGAGCTGCCCTGAGCTGCTTGAGCTGCGTTGAGACGCGTTGAGTCGCTCGCCTGCTTGTCTACTGAATGATGTTCTCGAGGGATCTCAGTTAGTTTGCGCCTTCTATTCGTCACGGTTCGTACCGGTATGTCTGTCCGTACGCAAACGCAGGTAGCCATCTCGCCAGACACCGTAATACGTTGGCGCTGGCCTTGATGTCGGGGCAACCCTCACTCTGAACGGCTGTCGAAGGGCAAGTCAGAATAATGGAAGCGACGCTGCACACTTGATCGAAGTGGCTTGAAGATCTGTGGACTAATTAATGCATGGAAGATCCGATGGTTACACAAAAGGCAACGGGCCCTATCCCCACGGTTACACGAGGCTGAGGTAAACTCCGACGACGAGGCGGGGCACTTTCGACGACATAGCGGAAGACGGTAGTGTTCCGGGGCCCCAGAAGTTCAAGGTATAGTAGCCCATTTGAGGGACCAAAGCGTCTCACTTTGTCCGCCTCAACATGTACCCTCTCGTACCTCTGTCCTCGACATGTACCCTCCGTCATCGATTGACAGACCAACTCCGATCACTTGTTCGGGCCGACGTATACCCTCCCGTAATCAGATCCCTGATACTCAGAGCCATACCCCCGATACTGCATCATGGGATACTGCTCCTGGACGGGCGCCTGCATCGTATATACCGGCACGGCCTGGCTCGCAGGCCTGTAAACGCCTCGACTCGCCCGCTTCCTCCTAAGGATACAGCAGCCCACCAGGAGCAGGAGCACTAGCCCGCAGAAGCCGGCAATCGCGCCGATGATGACGGTCCTGTGTGCCGAGAACCAGGACAAGGTATCGTTCAAGTCGGCGTCGCTCGTGGACGTCGATGTGCCGGTCGCCGAGGTGGACGTGTCCGTGGCAGTGCCGCTGCCGAACCAATAGTCGGAGAAGTACCGCGGGAGGCCGGCGATGGAGGTCGCGTTGCCACCGTAGTAGGTCACCATCATCGTGTCAGTGGGCCCGGGCGTGTCCGTGCAGGAAAGGTACGTGTAGCCTTCTGGCCCGCCGAACGTGGCTGTCGCACACAGCGGATAAGCCTCGTTGCTGGTGTGCAGATCAGTCAGTCAATCAGTCAGTCAGTCAGTTCAGCCGGAGGAGTTCTCGCGACGTGGGCACTCATTTTGCTCCCACAAACCCGAAGCGAGGCAGAGCAGCGGGAACGGCACGGACGAACGAAGATCGGCTTACCACACCGTGTTCAGGTAATTCGCCTGGCATGCCGAGTCACAACCGTTGTCCACCATCGAGTAAGGGACGCAGGATGTCACCCAGGCGCAGTCCGTGGTGGCCGCGCCGCCGCAGCACCCGACTGCGTGAAGCTCGGGGGACCATAGACAGGGTTGATAGTAGGGATAATTGCAGACGAGAGGAGTGTCTGCGGAGAGGGGAGGGACACAAGTCAGTCAATTGAGTCTGTTGGAGTCATGAGAGATTGGATGGATGATTCACTCACTCAGATCACCATTTACCCAGCCGCAGGTGTCTTCACTGACTGTCTCGTCTCTCCTGAGCAGTTCGCGCTGGTGCGTTAATGACGGAGCCGCAGTGATAGGGCTGACTGGGATGGTCTTTGCGGTAACTCTTGCAATTCTGGTAACGGCAGCAACATTGTCTGCCATCTTCACGAACAGGTGTCAAATGTTGCTCTTGCTTGGGCCGGATTGCGAGGCTTCAAACTAAAGAGCAACAGTCTACGACGGCAATATGTGTGCGAGTCTCGTCTCACCTAGAGAACCGGGGCCAGAGGCAGACTTATCTTCATCTTTGGCCCTGGCTCTCGAGCCTGGAATAGATAGACTTCGACGCTTGCGGGCTTGCGTGGCCAGAATGCGGTATTCCAGAAACCGTCAAGCCAGATAGGGAACATGCACAACGGCGGTGGGCGTTGGCCAAAAGTCCATATCTGCTTCGGCCGCCTGGAGCTTGGACGTTAGCGAGCGAGTGCAAAGCAAGGGCCAAGCTTGGACGTTCAAAGCTTCTCGATTAGATGCACCGGAGCGCTGGATACAGGCGAGCCCAGTGCCAGCGTGGTTGGTCCAAGGCGGCGAGAATGCCTTGAGCTCGTGTTCTTCGCCAACCACACGTTCTTGGCACCAACGAGTAATGGAATATTTGCCCGCTTCGTCCAATAGAGTAAAACTTGAGCAACCAAAACGGTCGAGCTGAAAAGAGATGTGGAAAGTAAAAGGGGAGTTTTGAAGACAACTTTCGGGCTGTGTTGGCCTTGCCCAATCACCTAACACCACAAGCGAAGCCGACTGGGGGCTGGACGAATCTCTCGTATCCCCTCCGCCATCTTTGAGATCGCGGCTCGCGTTAAGCCGCACCCGTGATTGTCGATAGGGCTGAAAGTCCCCTCCAGTGCACGGCGCAGTGGGCTGAACCGAAAGAGACAGCTTGCGGATAATCGCTTCAATGCTCTGATGATGCTCATAGTCGCGCTTGCAAAACAGTTGATGCCATGGCCAGACCATTCCAGACAGCCAAATCTATACCTCTTGGATGTAGTTCGCAGGGACACTCCTTGTCTCACCGTTCTTTTCCACGTCCGCCCACCCGTCACCCGTGCCCATGCTGATGAGGATGAACTTCTCGCCTTCGGTCATGTCGAACTCGGCCTCACTCTGGGCTGTGTAAGAGTACAGTGCCTCGACGTATTTGACTTTCTTCGCTCCACGTTTGGGTGCCACGGCCGGGCCTTGCTTTTTCTTGGTTGCCACGTTCGACGAGGCCAACGAGGCGCTGGAGTTCGAGTACAATGACGGTGGTCGCTCGTGCGCCGGTGTGCTTGCAGGAGTGGGCAGCTCCTCCAAATAAGCGGTAGGCACCACGCCTTCTTTGCCCAGTCCAGCTTGAACTTTTGTCCAGCCGCCGTCTGCTGCTTGTCAGTTCGAGTCGATGGGCGGTCGAGCTCACTTACCATCAGGTTCCAGTATCTTCACCTCTGTGCCTTCCGACAGTGACAATTCACCCTCGTCCCTTGCTTCATAGGAATACAGCATCTTACCTCTCGGTTGAGCACTTCCGTTCGAAGACACGTCCGGGACGGCTGCACTGACATAGGCCGATGGAGGCGGAGCAACAATTCGGTTCCGCCTTGGGGCGCCACCTCCTGAAACAGGATTCGACGTTGCTTGCGTTAAGGGAGAGCTGGCCACCTGCTCATCCATGGTGGCTATCCTTGGAACTCCACCCGACAATGACCTTGTAGCACTCGCGGCATACCCAGATGACAGACTATTCATCGTGTCTTGTCTCGTCAAAGGTGGAGGGCCGGTAGCGCCGTTCTGGGCAGGCGGAGGAGCTGCGACAGCGGCCATGGCCGCTGCTTGACGTTCGGCCTTCAACTTTTTCTTTTCCTCCTTCGTCTGCTCCCCCGGACAGTCTGCCGGGACTCTCATCTGACACTTGCTATGGCACGTGAAACCGCAATCGGTACATATGAAGCCCTTTGCACTCAAACCCCATATGCGATCGCCACAGAGGTCACAGTTCGTCGGGATCTTGAACGTCTCGGATCTGAAGGCATGGCTCTTGCCATACATGCTGAGATCGCCCACGACTGAAGTGATGGTCGACGTCTCCACTTCTGCCGTCAGTCGTTTCCTCTCAATGGCATGCAGGTCTTCCTGGACAATAAATTGTTGAACGACGCAGGCGACTTCATCACGTTTGTCTTTACCTTCTCGGATGTTCCGGCGGAGCTGCTTGACGCTTTCCAGTTCCCGTCGTTTCTGAGCGGCATCTGCCTTGAGCGAGTTGATGAGCGGCTTGCTCTGCTGGAGTATATTACGCAGAAATACTTTCGACATGTCATCCGTCATCATATGATCTTGATCCAACCAGACTGGAGACGGCTCGAAGACCATGTCTGACGGTTCCTGCCACTGTACAGCGTTGTGGCGGACAAACATGTTGCTGTCAAGGCTCGGATTGTTCCGGGGTATTTCTGTCGAGAGGCGCGTCATGTGCTCCACGCTCCGTTTCAGCGTGTTCGTCTCCAGGGTTGCGGCGACCAGCCATATCGAGTTCAATTTGGAGACACGAGTCTCGTTGAGGTCCTGGAGTGAGTCCAGCAGTTCCGGTATGTACTCGTGGTAGTAGCATTCTTTCATCTTGTTGGCAACGTTGATGCCGATCAAATAGGTGTTCTTGACATTGTTCATTTCCATCAATTGCTGGTTGTACGTGCTCTGCGCCTTGCTTTTGTCCATGGAGGATTCGGCCTTCTTTCTCCGGTTTTCGACCTCTTGACAGACAGAATCATACTTCTGCTTCAGCTTCTTGAGGTCTGCATACGACGAGTCCCTCTCCCTGACCAGTTTAGCATTGTAGTCGGCATGACTTTTCCGCAGCTCCTCGAGTTTCCTCGCATTGTATTCGAGCGGAGTGGCAACCTGACTCGTCAGGTCTTGTGAGAGTTTGGCATGTTCATTTGCGCGGGCTTCGAGCGTCGTGAGCTGAGTAGTCCACGTCGTCAGCGAGGCTGCCTCGAGAGACCCCGGCGTGAGGGCGGGATTGTCGCCGACACTCAGGTTGCTGGACTTCTTGGATTTCTTGTCGTAGTATTTCTTTGCCAACGCAGTCAACTTCTGGCTGTATTCCTTCTCGATGGCCGCGCGTTCTTGGTAGAATTCCTGGATCTCGGTGAGCCAGCTGATGCCCAGGCTCACCCAGTTGTCGACCGGTTTGTAGCCGTCCTGCAGCAGCGTCAGTATAATTGTGCGGACGCCGGGCGCTCCAAACCAACCTTGAGTTCGGCGCCAAAGCTGACAGTCGCAAGCTGAGCCATCGTGATTGTAGAGGATCAGTCTGTTTGAGCAGCATCATTCAACGACCCGGACGTCGACGCGGCAATCCTCCGATTTATTTCTGACTTAGTAGCAGTGCGACGTGAAGGGGACGCTGCATCTGAGGCATGGCACAGTACAGTAATTGGCGGGGAAGCCCATGCAATCAAACCACAGCCTCAGGCACCATGTCGGCGGCTCATCGGAGCATTCGTAGAGGCACGGGGCAGAGTTGCCGTTGTATGGGCGTCCCCAAAGCGTTTGGTCCAGGCACCATCCGCCTAAAGACACTAACAAGGGTTCGGCATCACCCCGCATCGCGCCCGCACCGACGTGTGGTGGTGAATTTTTGAGCTGGCTGTTCGAGTTTCATGGCAGCCGCCTGATTATATCGGCCGTGCCTTTCACAGTCTTGTTTCAGCCTGACTGGAATTGAGGTAGAGCACAGACTCGAAGAGATTCCAACTAACAGATCAAGGGCATTTTTGTTGTATTTTTAGCCAGCCACGGGTCTCTCTTTGTTTCACTTCCACCTCACTTCCGCACTTGCGCCGTCCAAGCCACTCGCACCACTTCTCAAACAAATCACCACTAAATCCGAACTCAGTTCCTCAACAATCATGTCAGAAACACCCTCCGGTGGCGGATCTCTGGCAGACCGCGTGACAAAACCCGAGTCCACCTCGTGGGCAGATGAGGTCGCGTCCCCCGCCACTGAGAACCCTCCCACCGCCATCGATACAAATGGCAAGCAGCCAGAAACAGCGCCGGCGGACAATGGACAACTTGACGGAGCCACAGAGCCCTTTGGAGGGTCTACGTTGCAAGAGCCGGATTTCGAGGTCGAGGTCAAGTTGGCGGACATGCAGGCAGATCCCAACAACCCTCTGTACTCGGCCACTTCATTCGAGCAATTGGGCTTGTGAGTTGGGTTGAGCGTGTGCAGCACAACAGGATGCTGACTGGTTACAGGAGCGACGACATCCTCAAGGGCGTCACCAACATGAACTTCCGAAAGCCCTCCAAAGTCCAAGAGAGAACGCTTCCCCTCCTCCTGATGAACCCTCCCCAGAATCTCATCGGTCAATCACAGTCTGGAACTGGTAAGACCGCTGCCTTCGTGCTGAACATCCTACATCGTCTGGACCTCAGCAGCGAAGCTATGCGCAAGACGCCGCAAGGTTTGGTTCTGGCTCCAAGTAGAGAACTGGCTCGTCAGATTGTGGGCGTGGTGAGGGTTATGGGCGCGTTCATTGAAGGTCTCAAGGTTGAAGCCGCCGTTCCTCAAGATGCAGCTGCACGCTCCCGTAAAATTGAAGCGGCAGTAATCGTTGGAACGCCTGGCACGGTCATGGACATGATTCGCAAGCGAGTCATGGACGTCCGACAACTCAAGATTCTGGTTCTGGACGAAGCCGACAACATGCTCGATCAACAAGGTCTCGGCGACCAATGCATCCGTGTCAAGGCGTACGTTCTGAGCATCTGTGCAGGTGTGAACTTCCCACTAATGACCTTCCAGACTGCTGCCCAAAGGCGTCCAGATTGTTCTCTTCTCCGCCACTTTCCCAGACAACGTCGTCCTGTATGCTCAGACATTCGCACCTAATGCCAATCAAATGACTCTCCAACACAAGGACTTGACTGTCGAAGGCATCAAACAGATCTACCTTGACTGCGACAGTGACCAAGCCAAGTACGACGTCCTGGTCAAGTTCTATGGTTTGATGACGATCGGTTCGTCCATCATCTTTGTCAAGGTACGAAGCCGTTCATTGGAAAGGGATTTTTCGGCCCGCTAATCATTGCGTAGACTCGAGAAACGGCACTCAACATCGAACAACGCATGTCAGCCGAGGGCCACAAGGTCGCGTCATTGACCGGTGGCTACGAAGGAACACAGCGCGATCTCATTATCGACTCATTCCGCATGGGCCACGCCAAAGTCCTGATCACCACCAACGTTCTTGCTCGAGGTATCGACGTCCAGTCAGTGTCCATGGTCGTCAACTACGATGTTCCCGACAAATTCATTGGCGGTGGCAAATACGTCGCGGATCCTCAGACCTATCTTCACCGTATTGGACGGACCGGTCGATTCGGACGTGTCGGTGTTGCCGTCACCTTTATCAGCAATCGGCAGGACTGGGAGAAGTTGATGGAAATCCAGAAATACTTCAACACCACAATGACGAAGGTCACAACTGATGACTGGGATGAGCTGGAGGAGCAGGTCTCTCGAATCATCAAGAGTTCCAGGGCGGGTTCAAATTTTAAGGAAGGCGCAAACATGCAGATGTGAAAGGGTGAAGACCTCGCATTGTGTAAGCGGATGAGATGTCTCAACGAGATATCAGCACAGCACAATCACGAAGCAGGATTGAAGCAGCCTGGCGCTAGATGCAAGGACAATTGGTCCATGGGAGGTCATAGATAGCATTTCCAGCGAGGATTTGAGATACCCAAAACAAATGGCACGACAGAATGACAGGGGATGGAATCAGAGCCAACAAGGGAGAAAACCCCCGTTGAAAAGTGAGCTTGCCTCACCTCTTCCTCCACCACTACCAGTCACAGGCCTGTCCCAGTAAATCTGCTATTGCTTCCAATCCCTCTTGATCTTCCTCGTCGAAGCCGTCGAGTTCCGCACAGTCGATATCAATCACGCCGACGACCTACAACAGATATCACGACGTCAACTTCGATGGACCCATGATTGTAGCGAACAACGGCAACCCTAGCGGTGTACAAACCGCAAAACAGCAGCCACGGAAACAGCCAAACATGACGAAACCAAGCCGCTGGTCGCTCAATACTTGACTCACCTTGCCATTCGCATTTCTTATCGGCACCACAATTTCACTCCGACTCTCGCCGTCGCAAGCAATATGCCCAGGGAAGGCATCCACGTCTCTCACAAGCAACGTCTCCCCCCGACCACTGCCGTCTCTGCCCACCGCCGCCGTGCCACAGACACCCTTTCCCAGCGCGATCGTCTGACAAGCGACCTTGCCCATAAAGGGGCCCAAGATCAGCTGCCTGTCGGGCGCAGACGGGTCCAGGACGTAGAACCCCGCCCAGTTGACGCCACTTCCCGACTGAGGAGTCATCGTAGATTCCCGCTCCCGCGGCGGCGGCAACGAGTGGTGCAGATGCCAGAGCAGGGAGGCCGCGTTGGCGAGGTTACACACCCAGTTCCGCTGCCCCTCGCACAGGGATGCCAGGCTGGCGAGGGCCCGTTGGTAGGCCGCGGGTTTGGTGGTCTCCTCGCCGGGTTTGGCGAAGTTGGAATGTTCGGCGTGAGGCTGGGCGAGTAACTCAGTCAGAGCAGAGCAGAGTAGAGCACAGACAGACGGACAAGATCAAAGGGACAGAGACTACAATCTAGTCCGTTGGCGAGACCTGAGCTGTGCTGGAAATTCTGTTCTGAGGGGGAGCACGTACGTACCATGCTGTGATGGCTCGATGGCGTCCGAACCCGGCCCTATCTCCTACAAAGTTGTCCCTTCGTTCCTTGGTGGTGCTTTCAGGGATCGATCCGTGCACACGAACCAGAATCGCGCGAATGCCCCAGATTGGGCAATTGCGACGTGAGAACTGACAGGTTGAGCACTATAGATGCTCCGTACGTACGGAAGTCCTCGTATGGAGAAGCCGTCGGTGTTCGGTCCATTAGGCGCTGTGCTTAGTAATTCTGTAGGCCACTAAGGCTTCAGATAGTGATTTATAAATATATATTGAACCCAACAGTAATTGGTTCAAATTGTACCTTGATGGTAGAATCAATTAAGATGGCAGGACCCATGGCGCAACGGTAGCGGTATGGCGAATTGAAGTTAACAACGTTACCTCAACATAGAGCTAATTAAATTCATAGCGTTCGACTCCAGATCGAAAGGTTGTCTGTTCAAATCAGGCTGGGTTCATTCTTCTTTTTTTGCTTTCTGGGAAATGTCCTGTGTGCGCATACCAGTGCGGGAGCACCGTTAGAACATCATGGCTACCACCCTTTTCGCAAAAGCCTCGGTGCGCACTGGGCGTACGTAAGTATGCGCAGTCTGATGAACGAATGAATACTCCGTGCACATCTAGGTACACACATAACGTGTTGCACTGCACAGTTTGCTTCGCGGCGCTGTCCCGTCGGCTATGTTGATTGAACAAGACAAAGACATAGTACCTGTTCTGCTGCGTTCTGTCCCACATGTCTTAGTCCTTGCTTTAGATGGAATCAGATCAGGCTGTGGGTGGCATTGTCTCCATGACTCTGGTGAAGACCTTCGTTCGCACGTGATGTCTGTGCTGCTCCAGGCCATGTATAAACCGTAGTGAGAGGTGGATAAAGGAGCCTATCGTTCTTCGGCTGAATTCGATTCATCCGGGAGATGCGGTACCGGAACAGTCCACTCATGGTGCCGGTGAAGGGTAAGTAGATGCTCGTCAATTTGCATGGCGGATACTCGTCGAATGGATACAGTAGCGGAGGCAGGTCAATTACGGTACACGGCTTAAGGACGTCCGCGTAATCGCTGAATGAGCCAGCGAGGCCGGGGAGGGGAGGCGAAGCTGTGTTTTTGAGGCCTCTGTGCGCTCTTCAACTTACAGTACTGTGTACCTAGGCATCAGCGGTGATTTGGACGTCGGCTTCACCAGTGTCGCACGGCCATCAACAAGGTCGACATGCTACAACATGAAAAAATTTACTCTATATGGGCGACCATAGACAGTCCTCCGGCCGTCGCTTTCAGCACGCGTCCCTCCTCTTGCCGAGCTCCGACCTCCAGAGGCGCTGCTGAAGCTTCCCCAGCTACTGCCCCCGCCCATCGATATATACTAGTGATGTAGTCGCTTCGTGTCATGGTGAGCAGCGACCATGACCCATCTTCAGAGCCGTAGACTGTAGACTTCCAGTCACCATCATCACTGGGCCAGACACTCGAGCTTCTTCCAAGGCGGCCGAGAGCCCCTTTGATGCCGGCGACCGACGAGGCCAATATCGACTTCCGATAGCCTTGGCTCAGCATGTATATTGCCCGAACCTCATTCCAGGCGTGCGTCATTGTCATCGACCCCGGAAAAGACAAGGACTGGCTGATGCGGCCGAAACAGAAAACTATTGGCTTAAGTCCCAGAATGACAGTCACAGCTGAGCAACTTCAACTCGTCTATGCCATGCTAAATGTCTTTTGAAGTCATGGTAGGATAATGTAATGATCGATGTGACGGACTGACGGACTGACAGGTTTCTCCGCTTGGGGACGACCAAGAAGTTGTACCATCGCCGTCAGTTTCGTCGGAAGGGTACTGAAAGTTACTTATGTGCGCTTGGAGACTCCGTCCATCTATCAGCCCCGATTTCTCACGATTCCTCACGGACATGGAGCAAGGAGAAAGGGCTTCGACATGCCCTGCGCGGACGGCGGACGAAGTACGCAGCTGAGCATCACGCTTTTCGATGGCTACTACCAAGGATAGCCTATCAGTTTTCGAACCATGTGCTGCTCTTTCCTTGGCTCTCTACTGCTCCGTAACCGCGTTGACCAGGTGCGGCAGGCAAGCCACGGCATGCAAACGGCTTGACAACCACGCGATGGTCCATCGTTGACCCGGCATACCAGGGGTTAGCGGGGATATGTGACGGTATTGAGCCAGCCAAGCTAATCCCAATCAGACACAAACGTGCCCGGTACCGGCCCGGTCGTTAGTATGCGTGCCCTGTACGGAGTACTCCGCAGGGACAGACACACACACCTGCACACTACGCCCAACGCATACTCACTTCTATCGGCCGAATGGACGATCCGGTCCGATCAACCACGTCCCTCCGCGAGATGCATCGTAACCGTATCCGCAAAGATATACGGGGCACCCAAGGACAAAGGGATGGCGTGATGGTGTAGTTTCTCGTTGCATACTGTGTCAGAAAATATAATCATATCCCTCCAGCATCAAGTCCAACTCCAACTCCAAGTACAACCACATCCGTCCTCTACCATCCTTCTGTCGAAGCCAAGGCTGAAACCAAAGTCGTAGGCCCTGTACAGTGGTACGTAATCCTGACGCTAAATACTACTACCACCACCAACACCACCACCACCATGTCCTGCCCCGACTGCTTCCGCGGCGCGGTGCACACGCACGCCACCCCAACAGGCACGATCGAAACCGTGCACGGCATCAAAACGTACGTCGCCGGCGGCAGCGATTCGACGCGCTCGCAGTCGACCATCATCTACTTTCCCGACGCCTTCGCGATGAACGTGCCCAACAACATGATCCTCGCAGACAAGTACGCAGCCGCGACGGGCTGCCGCGTGCTCTTCCCGGACGTGGTCTTCAACGGTGGCCTGCCCGAGTACGTCATGAAGGGCGTGGAGTACCTCACCACCCACCCCACGACCGTCACTTCGGTGCTGGGCAAGGCGTACACGCTCGTGACGGTACTGCCGCACCTCATTCCCTTCGTGATCTGGGGCCATCCGCGGAACAACTACACGGCCATGCTGAAGTTTGCGCGCGACGTGCGCGCCGAGCTGCCCGAGGGGGGCAAGCTCGGCGTGTGTGGCTTCTGCTGGGGCGCGTGGCCGAGCACCAAGCTGTGCGCGGAGAGTGTGGATGGCGCGCCGGGGAGTGCACGGCTGATCGACGCCCAGTTCAACGGCCATCCGTCGTATATCGTGAAGGAACCGACGCTCGTGGCGGACTGCATTCGAAAGTATAAGACGCCGTACGCGAGCGCCGTGGCGGAGCTGGATTTCCAGTTCAACGCCGAGGTGGCAGCCCAGGCGGAGGCCCAGCTGCGCGACAGCGTGGCGAGCAAGGGCGATGGCGAGAACGGGTACGTCTTCGAGTTCCGCGTGTACAAGGGCGCCAGCCACGGGTTTTGCGTCAAGGCCAAGCAGGATAATATGCAAAATTATCATGACGCCGTGGCGCACGCCGTGACCTGGTTCAAGAGCTATCTCAATTGAATGAGCTTTCCGAGGAATTTCCCTGACTGACTGGGGGTTGATGGGGCTGGAATGGGTTGACGGCCGTGTGGATGCTGCCTTTCACCCCATCTCGACCGAAGAGGTGAAAAACAATCGGTGCAATGGATGGGATTTGAATCAGTAACCACACGCACAGCCAGGCAGGCAGTCAGGCTGGGCGTCAACTTGGCAGCCCGCGTCAGTTGTCCAAGGAGAGAACGTCAGACTCCGGCAGTGGCAACGAGACGCGGTCATGAGAAGGACACGTTTTATTCTGCAAGCAAGATGGCGGGCAAGCAGGCAAGAGGATGCTTCTAGGGGAGGCCGTGCCGCTCATCGTTGTGCGAGCACGTACGAGATGTAGAAAGGCCAAAGTAATGTCAGCCTTACCCTCTGCTCTGTATGTAGAGACGGTACTTGGCAGTAAAGCCTACTCCGTAAGCGACAGACTGGCAGCGGCTCAGGCTAAGCAAGGTGATATGATCGCAAAATGAATGACGAAAAGCGCCGTTGCGCCGCACCTATTCTTGATTGTACATTTCACCATGATACCGTGCTCAAAAGTCGCCATCTACGGAGAAGACGTCTCGCGTCAGCTCTCGGTCGCCATCATCGCGCACCACGGCTGGTTTTGCGGGTGCTGCCATGCAGTGTAATAGCTGTACGGGTCGGGCACAACGCCCCAGCAGTCCTTGTAGTAGCCATCCATTTGCTTCTGGTAGTTGGACAGCTGGGAACTCATGGAGGGCCATGTATTTATGGCAAGCTCTGGGAATATTGTGTGCTGTTGATTCATGATGGGCTCCTGGGACATGGTGAGCGTCTGGCTCGCGGTGAGGTCCTGGATGAGGTCCGGTTTCATGGTGTATTCTTGAGCCAAGGTGAGCTCCTGGGACATGTCGCAGTCGTGGGACGTGACGGGCTGTTGGTACATGGAGAACTCCCGAGGCATGGCGGAGTCCTGGAATATGGGGTAGTCCTGGAACATGGCAGGGTCCTGGAACGTGGCAAACTGCTGGAACATGGCGGCTTCCTGGAGTATGGCGGGCTCTGAAATCATAGCCTGTTCCGGATTTAGGGCGGGCTTTTTGAAGACGAGCTGCTCCGGGTAAATGGCCTCCTCATGAAGCTTGGGCTGTTCCTGGGATGTAGGTTGTCCCTGCATTGCAGGCCGTCCTCGCCGTGCGGGCTGCTTAGGCAACCTAGGCCGCTTTTGCAATGTGGGCTGTTTCGGCAGCGCGGGTCGCTTTTGCAACGTAGGCTGGTCTGACAACAAGGTAGCGTCCTGAGACATAGCCGACCCCTGGTTCATAGCTTGGTGTGGGGACGTAACTTGGTCTTGGTGCTCGGCCTGCTCCGAGTTCGTGATTTGCTTCGGATATATAGCAGGCAGCTTGGTCTGCCCCTTGGCCCGCTGCTTGGCCCGCTTCTCAGGCTTGTACTTGGTCTGGTGCTTCCTCGTGACGTGCTCATCGTACTTGGTCTGGACGACTTGGCGGTAGTAAGACCAGGTCTTATCCATTTGCCAATCAGTGGACAAGGTCCAGACCACTCGCTTTTCGAGCCCACGCAAGGCATGGCCCAAGGTACAAAAAACCAAGTCATTCCAAGACTGCCACTCGTTGGCGGTGGCTTCACCTCGCTCGTCGGCTGGGTGGAAGCAATCCAGCGTTTGGCTGACGGTCCAGTCTCTCTTCTCGCAGGATTCACCTCTAAATTGGGCGTCGGAAGGTTGCGTGAGATTCCCACCAAGGCATTGGATCTTGGCGGCGAGGTAACAGCTCTGCGATAGGCTTGAAGCACGCGACGTGTCCAAGATGCGGTCGATCTGGAGGGCGGTTGTCTCGACCCATCCGCTCTGCGCCATCGCCCTCGATTTGGTCAAGTACATGCGCCTGATGTATGGTAAGTCGAACTCGCGAGATCCGCGAAAGAGCCATTCGCCCGTCATCGTCGACATGGGTTGGACGAGTTCCTCAGTGTGGATGCAGCAGTTCTTGACAGTGGTAAGGTCACGGAATCTCTGGAACCATGCATCGACCTGGGCAGTATACTTATCCTCCCGGCTCATAGGAACCCACTGCGCGAACACGACGATGCAAGCGGGCCACGTGCTGTTCGTGTGACCGGGCTGTTCGCCGGTTGTGCTCTCGATGGGATTGTGAGGGTTGTCCTTCAGTTTTGGTATCAGCCGCAGCATAGGGAACGAGGCGCTGAACACGTTGACGGAAAGGTCAAAGTTCGGCGGCAAGGATGAGTCGTCGGCCATGGTAGCCACCTCGTTCAGAAGCAGTTTCAGCGCAGGCTGATTGTATCGCCAGACTCCTTTGAAGCCGTGCGGCCGGGAGTTTGTGTCAGGGAAGTCGAAGTCTTCGTCGGCAAAGGCTTGGAACGAATAGTGCGTGACGACCCCAAAGGATCCCGCAACGCCTCCGAGGATGGCGTGGGCCTTCGGGTCGCACGTGGTGATCATTTCACTTTCACCGGTGTGGTTGAGTATTCTGATGGCCCGGATGCGATCTCCCAGCAGGCCAAAGCTCCGCCCGAGTTGGCCCCCTCCGCCTCTCTGGCCATGACCGACGAGTTGTACATCAGAGCATTGTCCGTGAGGCAGGAAGCGGCCGTCTTCACGAAGAATTCGGTTGATATCTCCGATACTCTGGCTGACACCGACCCAGAGCTGATTCTTGGTTCTGTATGGGACCCATTGCTCTACTGTCGTGAGACCAATATGTTTCGGGCCCGCGTACGTCAGGGTGAGGTTGAGCTGGACGTCTGGGGCTGTTGGGGCGTGGACGCCACCATCGTAATAGTGGCCGCCGGTGAAGACTGAGATGCGGTATCCGTTTTGCCTTGCGTACCTGATGGCGGTGCGGACGTCCTTTTCATGCCTTGGAAAGGCGATCAGGGCTGGCGGCATGTCACGGTCGAGGTTGAGGGTATAGTGCACATCAGCATAGGCCTTGGCCGCGTAAGGATCTGTGGAGAAGGGGAATTGGGGCCCCGTGAATTCTGGGATTGTCTGCATGTCTGGAGTGTGAAGAAAGGCGAGGAAGATCTGTGCTGTCTGTCAGCATCGGTCATGCTATCGGACACCTTCAGTGTTATATTCTTCGCTCCCGTCCATCGCAGGCTGCCAAGATCTCCTAGTAGAATCGACTGCAGGATCAGAGCAGCGAAGCAACGGTCTGAACCGTGTCGAACGGTGGTGGAGGCGAAAGTCGGGAGCAGTTCAGCTCCCGGTCACGTTGGGTTAGCCGTGCTCGATAAAGCTAAATTCGGCGAGGTGAGAGTGCGCAATAGGCCCATCTGAAGCCCACTGACACTTCCGAGCTCTGCCATTCAGGACCGATACGAGGATGCGTGCCAAGGTGTAAGGAAAATAGTTCAGCTTTGCATCGAATTGGTGGAATCGACTTGCGTGTGGGATGCGTATGCGGGTTATGTCGGCGCTAGCCTCAGCACGGTTTAGGGTGATCTAGTCCTAAGATGGACTAGTCTTCGCGCTAGTACCGGTGCTGCGTCTGGTTCAAGTCATGTGCTAGACGCATCGAGTTTAATCCCCTCAAACCCGAATTTGATATCAGATTGATCGGCGCAGGGGGAGAAGGGCCGTGACGCACTAGATCGCCCGGGGTCTATCACTCGAAAGCGTGTTGGAAGCCCAAGCGATGCCTTGACTCGAGAACAAGGCTACGCTGAAATCGCTGTGGAAGCCAAACGCTGGTTCAGCTCACAGACGCAGCTCCTGATGATGTGAGTCGCGACAGTGGACGGTGAGAGGGACATCCAAACAACGAATGGTTCGGCGGCATCCCTCACTCCTACCCAGTACTCAGAGCTCCGTCCTGGGTCCGCGCTGGGTACGAGGTCGTTACGTACTGGCTCCCTGGATCACCCATGGTGGCTACCCCCTTATGAGCAACACCCCGGTCTCCACACTCCCCTCGGTTGAGCCAGCAGTCCACCGATTGCGCTAGATTAGCCAGTGTCGACTAGCTCGCTTGATTTGACTTCCTGCGAGGGTCGGATTTTCTCCAGGGTGATCCACATTCATGAGGCGGAAATCTCAACTGCTAGCCTCCTGCGATCCTGCACGCTGGTGGTTGGGAATCTGACCTTGGATGCTGAAATCGGCCGGTCACGCTCGATCCTGGGAACATCTCGCCTAAATACCACGGTACAGTACGATACTGGATAACCGTGCGCGGTGTCGGACCTTTGGCTGAAATCGAAAAAGCGGTCCATGGCCACCTTCCCACCCTGCACGGCCTGGAGGAAGCTTCCCCGGCTGCAAGGGGGAGACAGGAAGGGACAAAGGGCAGCCCCTCTGTCAGGGCCGTGTTTTCGCTTAACTGACATTCGAACCTGCTGCGACCTGACGCCAGAAACTGGGCGAATCTACCGTCGGCTGAAGCATGAGTATTCGGCTTCGTCGATGGTTTGGTCCATGCACTGTCCCGTCTTCAGCTCGTCCTGGAGGTTTCCTACGTCACGACTCCGCGAGCACAGCTTCAAAGATGGAACGAGCCTCGCTGGTCGTCAGCCGCCCGATCAGTTGCACTCCACATCATCTCATGCCCTGCCTGGTATGGGACATTCGCCCTGCTTCTGTGGAAGTGCCGAGACGGCTCTGACTGACGCCGATAATGTGATGCTGCTGCAGATAGTGGCCATTCATCTGGCACACCGTTACCCACACCCCCAGCCACATGGAAGACGACTGAATTTGCAAAGGTTCAATCAAGGTGCAAGAGCATTTGGGCATTTACAGCGACTGCGTGTAACCTGAGGCAAGTTCTGATAAGGTTCTTTGATGTTGGAAGCTCGCACATGTAGTCAAGCCCGCAATCATGATGGAATTGATAGACTCCTCTGGCTAATTATGCCATGACCAAGTCTTCTCCACACCATTTTGGCCTTCTTCGCTGACGGCGATGTGAGACATTGTCGCATCTTGATCCGGTTGATTCCTTGAGAACATCAAAGTCGTCCGGGTCGACCCGTCCGTCCGCGCGCGAGAGTCCCTTCTCCTCAAAAGCGTCCCCGATGGGCTGGATATAGTGAGTAAAGTATTCTTCAGTTCCTCGCAAGAAAAACTTGTACGTTGTGCAGGTCAGGTCCCAGTTCAATCCAGTGTCTGCTAAGTCCCACCAATGAGGATCGGGGTCCGTACAATTCACGATTGTTCCAAGAGGCACGAAACACCCGGAAGAGCTCAGCGAAGGGAGCTCTGCGAGATATATTATGCAGGACCGCTAAGTAGAGATGATTGTTGCCTTTTGCTCAGAGAACTTCGTGATACTTTTGGAAAAGAGCGACGACGTGCAAGGCATCTGCGCTGCTTCACCTCCCCATCGAGCCCTTCGCACTCGCTTGGTTTCTGCGGCGGGACTGGTCCGCTGACTTCGGTCTGCAGAGGTTCGATGTGCCATCATTCGCGGCAACTTGGCCTGTAATGCGCGGGCACCGGCTCGAGCGCGCCATGCCAGTCAATGACACTTGTAAAGATGTAGTCCTGTGACCGAGGCGGAGATTGCAGTCTGAAGCCTGGATGCGACATGGCATGGATAGCAACGTATCTCCGACCCTCCTACATGCCAGGATGTAGACATGATCGCGAGGTATCTATGAAGAAGCTTCGCGCTCTTGAGTCCAGCACCCCCGGCAAAATTTGAAGGGCGTCTGGCGCATCTGTGCGCGCCATGGTCTCATCTCAAGATGCGTTCGAACCACAAGCCATGCATCGGAAAGAGGATTGAGACCGAGATGATGACAAAATCTGAAAACTCTTTTGACCGTAGAATTGTCAAGCCCCTGAAAACAGTGGAACCGGCCGTCCCAACGCCTTAGTCATTGTTCTTGATCGAGCGTTCTGCCCAGTTCCAAGATGCGGATGTGTGTACGTCCCAAAGCATAACAGTCTCGTAAGGCGTATACTATATACAATCGTCGAAGAAATGCATGATCCATCAAACTAGGAAGCCCCGCTTCACGTAGCTCGTATGCTCGTTTGTACAGCGTGTCCATCATATATGCAGCGATCGTAGTCGTTCCAAACTCTTAAGCAGCCTCGGCCGACAACTGATCATACCATTTCTCATGGCTTTTCAAATCGACCGACCGTATCTTGTCGAGCGAGTCGACGAGGCGATTGACCTCTGCCAAAAACTCCGGCATCCCCGCCCTGGCTAGCACTTCCGCCGCACTAGTGGTGGTCCTTACCCTCTCAGCTGTGCCGTTAGCGGCGAGCCTGGCGAACACATGCTCTCGAAGAGACTTGAGAAGGAAACAAGCAATCTGCTCACTGAAGACGTCTCCTGTAGAAGTTTCTGCAGGGACATATGTGCCGTGACTGTGAACCGCGTCCTCTCGGGCTTGCTCCGTTACACTCGCATTTCTAGCTGCAGCAATGGCTGCGGGGAGAACTCGCCCAACAAAGTTGGACAACCCTTCTTTGGTAGCTTCAGGCATCATGTGTGACGACTCGACCAGCGAGACGACTCGATTGGGGTCAACCGTCAGAAGATCCAACAACATCAGCCGGTCTGCATCTTTCGTCCAAAGTGATTCCCTGTTACGCCTCAGTCGGATTTTGGTGGTGAGCAGGACCGATGAGACGGCTATCATCTGGAACGCGCGAGCCCTCAGCTTTAGTAGCCGAACAAAGTCCAGCTGCAGTGTTTCCGGCACGTCGCGGGAGCTCAAATGTGAGTTGCGCAGAACGAGGTCTGACAGCCCCCTGGCGTAGATGGCATTCCCACTTGGATTTTGTCCGATTGTCACCGATTTGGCATCCGCCCACCAACGTTTCGTCCGTTCGAGCGTGTGCACGCCTTGGTCAAGATCTCGCTCAAAAGACGCCATTTCGTGCTCGTGCCCGTGTTCCAGCACCGCTTGCGAGGCCAGCCGGAATTGAAAGTTGATGTGATCCAGCGCCATCAGGTCAACAATATTGATTAGCTGAAAAAGGCGATCGATGGTGTCGTCCGACGCATTTGTTGCAAATGATCTGACAAGCTCGTCCCGACCAGGAGAACAAATCTGCGAAATCAGCCCTGCAATTGTCTCAAAGAAAGACTCGTACGAGAACATGCCATTGCGGGACTGTTGGGCGATTAGCTGTGGATCCAGCAGGCCATCAATCCGCTCGTAAAGAGGATGCCGTGGGCTGATCAAATTCATCAGCTTCTCACGGATGAGAACTGCCATAGCATGGGTCCATCTCGTAGTGGCTCCATTGCTTCCACTTTGCATGCTGTCACGCATACTGGTTCGAAGCGAGTCCACGAAGCCTTTGTGCGCATTCGTCCAAGGTCGCTGCTGCACCTCGAAACTGCCGTTGATCAAGATCTCATGCGCAATCTCGCGATTCGACGGCAGGACAGTCATGATTTTGGAGAGGCTGTCGGCAAACAACGGGACTTTCGTGTCTACGCTTTGTTGAGCAGGCTGTGGAGTTGCAGGAGGGGTCATAAGTGCCCGTGAAGCATTCGTGGCACCTTCATTGACAGGCGTCGATCCTCGAGGAACTTGCTCGATCCCTTTCTGTCGCATTTCAGACGCTCTTTGCTTGCGAGCCTTTCTCACGGCAACACGGACTCTTGAAAGCGCCTCTTCTGGGCCCGCGAGTCTCTTCAGACGGGCAAGCAATTTGACTTGCTCTTGTCGTACAGCATCGAGGTAGTCCTCGGCTACGTGGCCATCATGATCATTTTTGGTGGCTTGCAAAATAAGATCCAGATTGACAAATGAGCTGACCATAATATCAACAAGGACTCCCAGGTCTTGGCTCTTCCAAGCATGAAAGGTCGAGATAAAGTCGTTCAGAGCGAAAGAGAGGGCGTCCTTGCTCGACTGAAGGGAAGCGGTGGGCGACCCCGACATCAAGATCTTGATACAAGCCTCAAAAGTGTGGACGAGCGATTCAGCTTTCGCCAGCACCGTCTGCTCTTGGGGTTGGCTTCCGCCGTGGCTGAAGGCTTGCATCGGGTGTGCGGCAATCAAATACCCGCTGAGGAAAACCCG